TGGTAAGCACTCCATAGATTCACTGCAAAAAACAGCTATCCTGGGAACATCACACATACTACGGAAAGTGCTACAGTGCGAAGCTTGAAGCCTGAGTGGTGAGGTGCATCACTGGTTCAAGAAAAGGAATACTAGGAAATAAACCTGTGACAAGAGATGATGATGATGATAATAATATAATACTGCTACTACTGCCACTGCTAGTAGGACAAGAGTGGCCAATCAGATTGACGGATGTAGAAGAGGATCTGGGATACCAAGCGAGCGGATTGGAAATAAAGGTTCAAGAAAAGGCAGTAATTTCAGGACGGAAGGTTCCCGCTGACGTAACGGCTGAAGGGTAAGAGGAGGTTAAACTTAGTCCGTCCTAATTTTCCGATCAGAATATTCTAAATAGAGTCTCTTTTTAAACTTTAAATTAAATTAGAGTGTTTCTCATGCCTCATCTACAGCCTTTAATACTGAGAACGATGATTATTTTAAGCCGAAAAATCATTAGCAAGAATATTCCCTTTTTTCCTATATAAGTGATAGAATATACTCTACAGTACGGAAAAAGAGCTCAGTCGTTGATAAAAAAAAGTTACTGGATTGGAACTTCTGGGGTAAATCACAGTAAAATCCGAACTGTGTAAAGTTGGATTGTGGGCCCCCTTTAATCTCTCCCACATATGCACGGATATATTTTCAACCGCGATTCACCATTTAAATTGCGTGATTGAAACCACACTTTTCCCTTCTCAGCCCTTTAATACAAACACAGAAGTCCACCAGGGAAATGGACGTGGTTTTGAGTACTGAGGGTAAAGAGAGGGTGGAAAGGGTAGAAAGCAATGATTGGTGCCCTGCGGGCCCAAAGCCGTAGTCACACTACAGTTGGCGGGGGACGGGGCAGTCGGAAGTAGAGAATTGCGGTTATCTTCATTATAGACTGATTTTAGGCCCCTGTAACTAGGCTCCATGCACAGCAGAACGTAACATACTGCCTGTCGGAATAGAGATGTCACTACTGGGCGCACACTCCCACTCCATCACTCTCTGAGCATTAAGCAAGCTGAATGCCTTCCCCCACTTTACATACCCACTGACATCTCAATTCCGGGAGACAATACTTGTTGCTATTTAGTCGGCAATGTTAGTACAGCAGGTT